TAATTAGCATAGTCACTACCTGATTGTTTATGATTCGCCGGGATCGAAAAGCGGACGGACGGAAAGACGGACGCATGTACACTGCGCTTTATTTATATAAATGGTAATTGCTTTGGGATTAGTTAAATGTTGATGTATTGTATATGACTCTATAACCATTTCTTTTAGCCGGCAACACGTAAATACTGATGTATATATGAGCCTATAAGAATTTATTTGGTTTAGAGATAAGTAAATATTGGTCATTTACATTTGAATCCCTAAGTATATGTTTGGTTAGGGTTTAAGTAAATTTTAGTCATGTAAATTTCTGTCTCTCACCACATACTTGTTTCAGAAATAGGCACATTTTAGTTGTTTAAATTTGAATCCCTGGACCTTTTCGTGGTTTTTGTTAGGGAAATATAGCCATTTAAAATTGTCTGAAACAAGTCCACTCATACAGTGTATCACAAAAGTGAGTACACCCCTCACATTTCTTCAAATATTTCAATTTAGACATTTAGGGGCGTAGTTTCTTAGGGGTGTACTCACTTTTTAGAGGTGTAGTTTCTTAGGGGTGTACTCACTTTTGTTGCCAGGGATTTAGCTTTTAATGGCTATATTTTGAGTTATTTTGAGGGGAAAAGAAATTAACTCTGTTATATATGCTGCAGACAGACTATTTTTCATTGTGTTAAAAGGTAATTTTTTCAGTGCTGTTCCATGAAGAGATATACTTAAATATTGGAAGAAATGTGAGGGGTGTACTCACTTTTGTGATACACTGTATAACAGAATATGTTCTCTCACTGAGAGCGGCCATGTGGTGGTCGAAATTACGATTAATCTTTAATTATGAGAAGAGTTTTAGTAAGGTTCATAACAAGAATAAATTGTTATTGAGTAGAAAGCCGAGAAAATGTACTTGAAAATTAATCATTTCAAGTTTTACAAGAAAATTAATTATAAAAGAAACATAATTTATACGTTAGGTAAATAATACTGAATGAGGGTTTCAGAAAAACAATTAGGTTGGTGCAAAATAATGACGTAAAAGTCGTTTTTTGACGTATTTTTAACGTCAAAAACGACATTATTACGTCATTATTTTTGCACCAACCTAATATTTTGTTAATATTCCAAAGATTTATTCCAAAAAGATTTTACCATTTATAAACTATTACGTATATTATTTGCCATTATTATTATTAAACAGGAATCATGATCCCAAATTGGAATGAAAGCAGGGATTGCACATACCCTGAATCCATCATAAAATTTCAGGATGTAGAATTAATAAATACTAAACATTTCAAATACTTCGTTGTATGGAAATATTATAATGAAGTTAGTATAAGGGGAAAGAAAAATGAACAGAAAATAGGCTGCGCCAGAGGTACTTTCCCGCAATTTGCTACAAAACCAAAAGCATTAAGTTGCGAATCTGAGTAATGTACTTAAATAGCCTCATTAGATCGTGACTTTCATATGGATGTCATGCATGATGCCAAACACGTTCAGAAATATCTAAACTGTCAGCTGTATACAACCACTTTCTAAGAGCAATGGCTAAAAAGCCCTTTGATCATGTAAAGCTTGCAGGTCTTGGCTAAGGCCATCCATCTTCGAACATTGTGGACTGGCGCTACACAATCACACACAAAGTACTACACGAGATAACAGAAACCGCATCACTTGAGGATTTTCAACAGCAGCAACAACTAAAATGAATAGTAGATATAACTCGAAGAGAAAATAATGGCAAAACGAGGATGTTGACATTTCACACCACTTCGAATAATAGGTCAGGGAAGAAATCTCCATCTGGGAAGAGCATTGAGATACACTGCACTTGTGAAACATATTTCCCTGAAAACTTGTTTCAAGAGAAAGATTTTATAAATTTCAACGAATAAGTAACACTGGCTTAATGCCGATTTTTTTTTTCATATGCAAACGGGTAATATAACCATTGCAGTTACCAGTAGTACACAGAATATGAATAATATACAATAATATTATAGAATACATGAATAATATACAATAATATTATATAATATATGAATAATATACAATATTATATAGTATATGAATCATATCCAATAATATTATAGTATATGAATCATATCCAATAATATTATAGAAATATATGAATAATATACAATAATATTATATAATATATGAATAATATACAATAATATTATAGAAATATATATAAAAAATATACAATAATATTATATAATCTACGAATAATATACAATAATATTATATAATATATGAATAATGTACAATAATATTATAGAAATATATGAATAATATACAATAATATTATATAATATATGAATAATATACAATGCTAAACATTTTAAGACAATTTCAAGACTTTCAGTGATGGATGTTTAGTTGTCTTTGGAGACTCAAACAAACAATAATTCTTTGAAATATATTTGACAATATAATTTCAGGGCCTCTTTTCACATTGAAATGATACATTTCAAAAACTACCAAAGGCATTTGCTAAAATATTTCTACAAATCTTTAGTTTTACATTCAATATTAAGAAACAGGAAAAAGTATCTTGAGGTATTTTTAAATTTCCACAACCAATCATTTCAAAATTTAATGTAATCCTACAATAATTCCTCTTGTCTGGGACAATCTTTGTTCGTGCCATAAAAACAATTGATACTTTGATATCTTTGGGTTATACGATTTTTCAATGCTATTGCTCAAATGTATAGGATGTCATCTCACCCATGGTTATAAATATTCATGTGGTAGATCAAAATTTTATAATTACCTTTCAATTTAAGAATTAATTATGATTTTTCTGCATGGATTTTTTAATTAAATTTTGAAGGCTCCTCTTACCAGCGCCCACTAGCCGTATGTGCCATGGACGTCACGGGGTACATCTATCCATAAATAATATTCATCTCCTAAACCTTGTCGTAATTTATTAAATCATTTTCTAAATGTAGTAAATTCTCCTAGAATAACAAAATTAATGGCACTGATCAGAAAATAACAATAAATATTGAATAAGACATTGCGTTTTTTGTTGGACTGCTATATTAGTGTCACATGGAAATTATTTAACTCTTTCCTTACGTTCCTCTCATTTCTTTTGCCATTTTGAAAAATTATCTAAAATATCAACTTTTTATCATTTATATGTGCTACAGCTTATTTCGAAGGATCATTTATCTCAAAAATTAAATCTTACTCAAAGAAATTAACGGTTTTTTGTTTTGTTTTATAATGGGAGCATGTTAATTACAGCTACAGTCCTACAGCAAAATACTTTTAAACAATAGAAAACATTCTTGAATCTCGATTGATTCAAGATAAAGTCACATTTCTATTAATTGTTTTTTTTTTTCATGCCTAAAGTCCTTTAACAATTTCCCATCTTTTTCATTACCTTTGAAATAACATTGTAATCATTTAATCAATTATTACGAAGACTTTTAAGTATATGGACATAGTGAAAAAGATGCATACAAGATTATGTTAACAATCAAATTCACAAAAAAAGGCTTGATTTATACTATTATTCTCAGATATAACTGCAGTTGCATGTTTATTTTATTTTTAATCATTTCACCGCAAGCAAGAGAATAAAGCCACTGAGATACAACGTGGAGGTTATTGAGCACGAAAGAAAATGAGAAAATGTTATTGCAAAGAAAGGACAATAAAAGATACTGGAAAATTAATGCCCGACAGCAATACCAGTCGAAAAAGCCACTATAAAATTAAATCTTTTAAAAAAGAAGGAAGGAAAAACTTGTTTTAAATATGTCACAAAAACATCCAAAGAACAGTCAACAAGAAAATATGGTGTTGGGAATAGAATAATCGTCATCGTCAGTCACATGACCGAATGTGCAGTTCAGAACCAATAAGCTTTAAGCCAAATTTTCCCATATATGGCAATTCCCCTTCTTATTCTACAAATCTAATTATTGTTTATCTTATGACAAAGGGTCCAAAATCATCAATTCCATTCTTAAGCCTCTGGCCTCTCCAGAGAGTAATCCAATAGAAAATGTGTTGTCTCTTATTAAAAGAGAATATTAAGACGAGAATGGAAATGAATATTGAAGCAAAGACCTCTAGGCATAGAGCCACATATCGCTGAAATACCAATTCCCGTACGATCATCGAAGTTAAGCAACGTACTTAGATGGGTGACCGCATGGGATTACCAGGCGTTGTAAGCATTTTTGTGCGTGTGATGTAATGTGTAGTCAGAAATTGTTAATCGGATAGCCGAGTTCCAATTCACGTTGTGTCTGTTATATTCATTTACGCGCAAATACCCTTAGGGAAAGTATGAATCTACCTCTCTCCTCCAGCTATGGGTTAATTAGTAATACCTATATCACTAAAACATTTTCATCTCCAAAAATTCTCACAATCTAAAATTCTGTCTTTAAATAATCTGCAAAACAGCTTTATATCTATGATATTTTATTATACAAGTCAAAGTTATTTATTATACATGTCCTTGCTTTTTATGGCTTATCAACCTGAAAACGGTTGATAAACCGTAAAAAAACACTTCTGGAAAGCAATAACAAGCCTCTGCAAATAAGATTTTCACTCTCGGCGTTGATAGATGTTAGACTACCATTAAATAACCGACTGTATTTTGATTAATACCAGGATTATTTTGAAAACATTGACTTTTATGATAAAATATTTAGATATAATGTCGTTAGGTCGTCAGCGTTTATATTAGTTTTCGACGAAAACTTTAGCAAACTGAATTGGAATCTCGTTCAAAAAATACAGGAAAATAAAAGAAGTTGTCATCTTCAGTAATTCTGTAGAGATTCCTCAATTGCCATTTCTTTTGTCGTTCTACTCCTTATTTTGTGTTGTCTCTAATCTCTTTGGCACCATTAAATGACATCCACGGTTTAAGACCGTTGTTTCAAAACGTTTGTGGACGGCGCCAATCAACTGATTGTTTTTGCTTTATTGCTTCTCAGTCGCTTAACTGAGTTTAGTTCTTTTCCTTGGCAATGATTACGATGAGGATAATAGCCGCAAGCCACCATCAGCTAAACTGTTGTCCGTGAAGAAAAAAACAGAAATTCCCTATGATAATATCTATCTATCTATCTATCTATCTATCTATCTATCTATCTATCTCAGTTCGATGTGCTCATTCTTCCCTTCTCTTTCTATCTCTCTCTCTCTCACACACACCCACCCACACACACACACACACACAATCCGATACGTCAAGACTTCCACTCATTCATTCTCTCTCTCGCTCTATCTATCTATCTATCTATCTATCTATCTATCTATCTATCTATCTATCTATCTATCTATCTCAGCCTTTTCATCTTTCTTTCTTTCTTTCTTTCTTATTTCGTATCTCGACCTGTTTCTATCTATCTATCTATCTATCTATCTATCTATCTATCTATCTATCTCAGTCCGATGTGCTCATTCTTCCTTTCTCTCTCTCTGTCTCAATCCGATATGTCAATTCCTTTCTAATTCTATCTATCTATCTATCTATCTATCTATCTATCTATCTATCTATCTATCTCAGTTCGAGGTGCCTATTCTTCATTTCTCTCTCTCTCTCTCTCTCTCTCTCTCTCACCCACCCACACACACACACACGATCCAATATGCCAAGACGTCCTCTCTAATTCATTCTCTCTCTCACTATCTATCTATCTATCTATCTATCTATCTATCTATCTATCTATCTCAGTTCGATGTGCTCATTCTTCCTCTCTCTCTCTCTCTCTCTCTGTGTGTCTCTCTCTGTGTGTCTCAATCTGATATGTCAATTCTTTTCTAATTCTATCTATCTATCTATCTATCTATCTATCTATCTATCTCAGTCCGATATGCTCATTCTTCGTTTCTCTCTCTCCCTCTCTCTCTCTCTCTCTCTCTCTCTCTCACACACACACACACATCCGATATGTCAGGACTTTCTCTCTAATTCATTTTCTCTCTCGCTATCTACCTATCTATCTATCTATCTATCTATCTATCTATCTATCTATCTAATTCAGTCTATTCTTATCTACCTGTATGTCTGTCTATCTATCTATCTCTCTCTCTCTCTATATATATATATATATATATATATATATATATATATATATATCAGTCACCTGTGTTCAAAATTCATATCTATCTATGTATATCTATCTCCACTTTATCTATCTGAATTGATTAATTTATTTACATTAATCTATTCAGTTATTCGGTTTGACTAATCCGTTTGTCTACCCACAGTCTATGATTTCTTTTTATCTTTATTCCTATTGGTCAGTACTGATATATTTGACTGACGTATGACTCAGTATTTACTTTCATCAATATTCTGGGTGTAAAAAGAAAAAGTACCCAAATTGTGTGTAACAGCATAATTGTCCATCCCACAAAATGTTAAATACAGTGCTGTTCGATAAAAGTGACTCACCTGATTTTTTTACTAAATGTTCTCTTCTCCGATGAGACGAAAGTTGAGCTAAATTCAAAGGATAAGCGATCTAAAATCCGAAGAAGAAGCTTTGAAAGCTCTTTGAATTTAGCAGTAAGTACTGTCAAGCATCCGTTCAGTATAATGTTCTGGGGATTCTTTTCTTTTCATGGAACTGGTTTCTTAAAACCTATTGAAAAGACCCTCAGAAGAGAGCAGTACAAGAGAATTTTAGAGTCTTGTCTGCTCCCTTCTGCTGAAAGGGTGTAAATCGACCCCACCAAGCTCATTTTTATGCATGATAATGCTCCCTGTCACAAATCAAAATTGATGAAGGAATACTTTCATGAGAAGCAGGTGAGTTTTATGACATGGCCGCCCCAATCTCCTGACCTCAACCCCATAGAAAACTTATGGAGCTTGTTGCTCAACTGATTTCTTGAGAGCCTGTGCTTTATAATGCCCCATAGAGAGGGCGAAGATCATCTTCACTAAGTTTGAAAATGACCCTAGAATAATATATATACTTGAATTTTACTTCAATACTTCATGAGTTACGATTAATTAATGATGAGAGAGTTAATTAATGGACAGTAATTATACATTCATATCTAAGATACAAGGTTTCAGAAATGAATGTAACACTTGGACAATTTTACTGTTACATCTGGTATATTTATCATCTATGAAAGCGCCTGGCTGGTGCTCGAAGTGACTAGATTGTAAATTTGGAGTATCGTAAACTTTCAGTAGAGTAATATATTGATGCAATATTTGTAAGATTTTATGTCAAATTTTTTATATTGATATAAATTAATGGTATCGATATAAATAAACAACCCCTTTCCTTTGGTTTTCTAAGATATTATATAATTCAACTAAATAGTCTCTTCTACTATAAATAAATGAATCCTATCGATATCTCGAAATTGTTTTTTATGAAGAGATGTAGTTTTTCATTGGATTTAAATAAATGACATCCTACGAGTAACATGTTTAGAAAATATATTGCAGTTAGAACTTACTCTATCAGATTTATAGTTAGTTTTGTGTCGCAAAATGTTAGCTTAATTCGAGGTGCCGACATATACAAGTATACACGTAAATGTTGATTTAATAAAAGACCGATCGGCGTCAATAAACAAATGACGAATTACTCTTGAGTCTTAGAGAGTTTGGCCGACAGAGAACACCCACACATATATGTAGATCCAGTTAGATAGATAGATAGATAGATAGATAGATAGATAATGAAAAGTCTTAGATAGATAGATAGATAGATAGATAGATAGATAGATAGATAGATAGATAGATAGATAGAAAACGGATAGAAATAAACAGAGGCACAGAGAAAGAGTGAGAGAGACACAGAAATACAAATGGGTCCCGCACGAATGACGAATTGTTCATTAGTATTAGAGATCTAAAAAGATATACACATATCTGTAAAAACAAACAAACCGATAGATAGATAGATAGATAGATAGATAGATAGATAGATAGATAGATAGATAGATAGATAGATAGATAATGAAAAGACTGGGATAGATAGATAGATAGATAGATAGATAGATAGATAGATAGATAGATAGATAGATAATGAAAAGACTGGGATAGATAGATAGATAGATAGATAGATAGATAGATAGATAGATAGATAGATAGATAGATAGATAGATAGATAATGAAAAGATAGGGATAGATAGATAATGAAAGATAGATGGATAGATAGATAGATAGATAGATAGATAGATAGATAGATAGATAGATAGATAGATAGATAGATAATGAAAAGACTGGGATAGATAGATAATGAAAAGACTTGGATAGATAGATAGATAGATAGATAGATAGATAGATAGATAGATAGATAGATAGATAGATAGATGCACAGAAATACACATATGGGTTCCAGCTTGAATGACGAGCTGCTCATAAGTCAGAGATCTAAAAAGCTAAACACATATCTGTAAAATCAGATAGATAGATAGATAGATAGATAGATAGATAGATAGAATGATATAATGAAAGAAAGAAAGAAAAAAGAAAGAAATAACAGAAATAGAGAGACAGTGACAGAGTCACACACACACACACACATGTGGTTTTCCGCACAAATAATGAATTAATCATAAGTGTTAGAAAGCTAACAAGACATACACATATATGTCGACAAATTTAGATGAATAGATAGATAAAAGGTTGCTCGGAAAATAATGTTTGAATATGCAATAAAAATATTTAATTGTGTTCTAATATACTAATTGTATTAGTAGCATACAAAAATATTACTCATCCTTAATTATTATAGAGTCCTCTTTGTTAATTTTATATCGATCTCTTTCAAGTTATTCAATTATATGCCATACGTGTGCACGCTTAGGCGATCATGTATCTTTCGATACATGAAAGACGAGTCAGATTTTTCTCCACAGGAGGTTGTCATTTCTTTCTGCGGTAGACCAGTTGCCATCTAAGAACCCAGTCTCTCCTGCTATTTCCCCATAGCTGGTGAGAGAAGAAGAGGATTCGTACCTTTCCCAAGGGCATTAGTACGTAAGTGAATGTAATAGATTCATCTGGAATTCGAACTCGTCTCCCCGATTTCTGAATCCGAGCTGCTATCCATTACTCCACCATGCCCGCTAACCCCTTTCAAGATTGAACTTAAAACATTATATATCCCGTCATCTTGAACATGAAAATTGAAGAGATGCGTTTACTTTTTTGGCTTGAGTCAAGCGTGGTTATAATGCTCCTGAAACTGCTGCCAACATTAATAGAGCACTTGAGATCGGGAAGTACGGCGCTGGCTTCTGAAGTTCCGCAGTGGGAATACGAGTCTTGAAAATCAAGGATGTAGAGGACGTTCATCTGCAATTGAAAATCAACATCTTAAAAAAAAATAAATAGTCGAAAACGTTAAAGTATCAGATAATTATCTCCGATAATAGGAGTCAGCTTTCCAACAATATCATCACATTTAAAAAAAATTGTAAAGGCGAAGAAACTCAACAAATAAGTTCCATATAATGTTAGTGAATGTCAAAGAGTTGCAATTTTTTAAACGTGCTATCCGTTGGTCCACCATCGGCGTTATTCAGTTCATCATTCCAGAATCTAGCTGGAGCAAAACTGTCGAATTTTAAGTTGAGCAAAATGCGACCAGCACTGGTTGAACGAAGAGGTTCAATTATGCTTTATGTCAATGATCGACCATATATTGCCAAAATAATAGTTCAGAAGTTCACCGTCTTGGGATATGGGAATTTGCCGTATCCACCATATTCTTTGGATTACCCGACCACTGACTACCACTTTTTCACGTTTTTCAGTCAAAAAAACTTTTCCTTACAAAGAAGATGCAAGCAACTGCATTCAAAGAATTCTTGACTTCCAAACGTCTAGAATTTTATTGTAAATGCAGAAATAAAACGGTAACTGATGGCAGAATTCCTAAATTTATAGATGTTCAGGGTGTTGTTCATGATGACGGTCGTCTTCGAGTATAGAATAGAGAGGTTAGCAGTGAATATTTCGAAGACAGTAAGAAAGCGTATTTCAGGTTAGCAGTGGATATTTTGGTAAAAGTAGCAGAGCGTAGTTCTTCCTTCTGTTTCTCTTCGCCTGACAAGCTGGCACTGAACATTCAGGTAGGTTAAACAAAATGGCGGCCTTTATACACGATGGATTGAATGTTCTACGTCTTCTGATTGGTTAACCTTCTATTGGTGGACTATAAAGTGAGTCAAGTCATTTTGACTGGCTCACTAGTTATACATATATATATATATATATATATATATATATATATATATATATATATATATATATAAAGTTTCAAATTGAAAATTATAATGTTTTATTTTATGAAAGTATTTATTTATTTATATATATATTTGATATTTCAAATTGTCCTCAATTTTTCATCAGAAATAACTGTTTGTTACAAATAAATTAAAATTACTGTTTCTTAGCAAGCAGCGCCCTTCGCGAGACGCGGACGTCACGTGATATGGAACGTCACTGTTCGGATATTCCTAACTTAAATCTAACTGTCATAAATATTTAAAAAAAAATTTTACTATATCTAAAAAAAATTGCTTAACTATTGAAATATTTATAAAGATTTAAAACACCTAAGTCCCTATTCAACCCTAGTTTATGTATATTTAATTTTAAAATCCAATATGTTTCTTTTTTTCTGCGTGTGAATGTGGAAGTAAAATCGGAATCTATTAATAAACATTTGCAGTTTTCTAATGTGTGTCCTGATTGATTGTAGTGTTTAGCTATGGGGGAATAAGGGTTGTTTTGACGTATTGTTTGTTTATGGTTATTAAAACGAAATCTAAAATTGTTTCCAGACTCACCAATATATCCACTATTATATATATATATATATATATAAAAACTGTAACACAGGGTTCTTATTAAACTATTCCACTGAATAAATATTATCCAAACAAACGAAGAGATAGATTTCAAATTGAATATTACAAACATATTTGGATATTTTTTCACATTTTTAAAGATAATTTACTGAATTTTAACTTAAGAGACATTTATACAAAAAGAAAAA